CCATAAGGGACAAGATTTCTATCTGCAAGAGGCAGAGGGGTAAAGTGATGCAAACTTCGTTTTGTCATCTCACTACATCCTTGGCTCCAATTATGTTTCCTGCAAAAATGGTAAGAGAAGGCTGTGGATAAAATGGGAGCAGATATACAATAACCTGATCTCCTATCTGCATGTCTCAGGTGATTCACTATATTGCAGCTCATTGAACTGAAATGGCTCTCATGGAATATTTGGTGGGATTATCCATCAGAGGTGCTCTAAGTTTATTTGGGTATTTGCAACCCTATGAATGGCAGTTTTAATGGGGTCACTTAGACTGTAAATTCCTAACTACGCAGTGCTTTTTTCTCCTCCTAACATCACAGACTAGCCCAAAAAATACTTATTCTCTCACACAAAGACAGGCAGATGTTGATAAAAATTAAGTACAAAGATTAATTTGGGATTTGACTGGAAACTTTATATCTGGACAGTTTTAAAGACATAAAACAATTAATACCAAAATGTCCACAAATAAGTCAATTTCTGGAGTAATTGTCTACTGCTAAGAAAAGTATAGAAAGTGTTCCAACGGCGACCAATGTGTCTCACAAAAACTGAGAGAGGTCAGCTACTGTATCAGCCCACACTGTCTACTTATCTCCTTTCCTCCTGTTGTTTAGGGATAGCAAAATAACAACTTATTTATATGGAAAATTGTGTTGGAAAATAACTTGAAAAGAAACTACTGGACCCAAAGGAATATCACTGTATTGCTCATATACTTTGATCAGGAGAATGAAAAACAACATTGACTGTTACAGAATTTTTTTTCTGATACACTCTGCATCTTGTCATTTGGCCTAGCAATTTCTGAAGGCTTAGACCATGTGGAGATGCATTTATTAAATATTGTTTCTGTCCAACTTGCAAAAGGCAAGCAACTATAAAAGTTGATGAGCATATATATATTTTATTTCAAGCAAGCAAAAATGGACATTATTTTCCATGATATATGGCACATTCTCTAATGATCATCAAAAGTGTCCTAATGTAACATCTGAGTGTCCAGATGTTTTCTTATCATTAAAATAGTTTGATATAAGCATCACAAGACAAACACATATAAAGACCAATATACTTTTGTGTGTGTATTATGTATGTATACACACACGCAGAAAATTTTCTCTGTGATCTGGGGATGTGCTGTTTAGAATTTTTTTTCTGATTTAATTCTTTTAGATTCATATTTTAAAACATTCATATATATTCTGTCTTTTTCAAATACACTAGCTGAATTGCACAATTCTGTAACATAAGACATTCTTATCTTTAGTTTCAAATGAAAAAAAGAAAAATTGTCATTACAATCAACCTATTTAGTCAGTATTCTCACTTTTACATAGCAGAAGGGCAGACAAAGGAAAACATAAGTCTGGTGCTGAATGGCACCTAAGAGGCTGAGGGTCTCTGGGCTGCCTACATCTCAGCCTTTGTCATCACTGTCTCACAGGCAGTTCGGGCAACTCACTGACGTCACTGCTGGGCCTCTATTTCATCAAAAAGTTGTGGGACTCAGGGACATCACCAATGCCTAGAAAAGGCCAAGATTATGCTCGTCTTCAAAACTGAGGAAAAACTGGTAAACTACACCGTAATCAGCCATCAGTTCTGTTTTCGGGCACATCACAGAGCAATTCCTTCTGGAAACCATTTCCAGAAGTGTTAAAGGACAAGATGGTGACTGAAAACAGCTAGACTGGACTTATCAAGGGTAAATTGTTCCTCACCAGCCTGACTGCCTTCTCTAATGGGATGAATGACTCCATGGATGAGGGGATGGCAAAGGATGTTGGTTACTTTGGCTTTAGCAAAGCCTTCAATACAGTCTCCCACAGTGGTTGTATCTTCATTCACGGAGATAAATCAAAATTCAGTTGGCCAAGGTCCCATGCAGTTTCAAATAACTTCTACACTAGCCCTGCTTTGAGCAGGATGTCAAACTCTAACTCTTTTAGCGTCTCCCTCCAACCTAAAATACCTTATGATTCTATGTTATATCTTGTCATCAGAAATGTTCACACCAGAAATATTAGCAATAAAAACAGAAGCACCAGTCTTAAGAACTTCTGAGTTTCTAAGTTAAAATTGCTAGTAGCAAAAGAAACAAGCTTTATTAGAAGACAGGCAGTAGAAATAACAGGAGAACAACAAACAGGAAGAAATAAGTAATCAGTATTTCAAAAATATCTGGAATTATATTTCAGTCATTTACAAAAATACTAAAAAAGTTAACATGATCACTTAAAGAAAGCATGTAGGCATTAAAATAGTCTGAACTGGACATACTTATAATAAAAATTTATGCTCTAGGGAATAGTTGCAGAGGCTGTACATCCTCAATCTTTTCCGATTGCTCCTCAACTCTTATCAGTAGTTATGACTTCTTTTTTTTTTTTACAGTAAATTCCACAGATTATATGAGTTGCAGTGATTTCTGATTTTTATCTTTAAATCTAATGTCTTTTTCCTTTGGGGAAACTTCTCACAAGAATCAAAATTTTGCAGAATATCTTACTTGGGTTTTTTTTTGGCAATTTTTTTCCTTATAGAAAAAACAATAACTGTACTGTGAAATTTTAATGCTTGCCCTAGGCCTTCTTCAAGTGTCTGGAAAAAAATTAATCCCTAACCAAGAATCTTTATGCCACTAAAGTCTAAAAAGTTCTGCTGGAGTGGATAAAAAAGTCAATAAATTCTCCAAAGACCTAATTATAATTACTACTACTACTATTGTATATACCTGAATAAGTGAGTTGACTGAAGCACAAATGATGCCAAAGAAAAGTGTCTCCTTAAGCTATGTAAGTCTCAGATTTCATTTTTTTATATTGAAGCATTACTGTTTAAATTAGTATGTATCATACATATGGTCCAAGTTCACTTCCTTATTTAATAACTTTTTTTAAAAAGACGCTTTGAAGATAAAAAGACAGATAAAACTTTTAAAGACTACAGCATCAAATTAACTATTTAGACCAACATGTAGCATTAGAACAGTATCCTAGCAAATTATTTTGTCTACTTCCTAAAATTAGAAAGGAATGTAAGAAATTAGCCCTACTTTTCTGGGAAACTCAGAAAGACTATTTGTGCTATATCCTGTCTATTTGGAATGCAAGTTTAACAATTCAAACCAGAATACAGATCTTGACAGTTCTGTTTTGATAAACTAGATTAATTTACAGAGACTTAGTCTTTGGGATAATTTTCCACCCTAGAAAAGCATTTTATTGAAGTTAGTTATTAGGTAAAACGTAAATGTCAAAATGTCATATCAATATCCTAAGGAAAACTGACCGTACATAGGTTTGTAGAAACACCAAAAGCAGAAAGGGTCCCAGGCCCTGACTTTTGCTAGGAGATGTAACAGAAGTTTCTATCTATGATTATTTCCTCTGAACACAGGAGGCACTTTATGTCAATTAGGTAACTATACATTTATGTCTTGTAATGCATTAATTTATTGAGTGTATTGACACCACAAGATGAAAGGTTTTGATGAGATGTTCAGAACACGACAATCTCTTATCAAGGACTGTAAGAACGTTCTTGTGATCCTCAATAACAAGCGACCACTAGTTCATGACTACAGAGACACTATCAGAAGGAGGCCTTACTCTCGATTTGTCCATAGCTATTCCTTGTATCAAAATTTTAAAAAGAAGAAGAGATTAGTCAGATCTTTAGAAAGCCAAAAGGAAGGAAAATAAAAACATAATTGGAAACATTTTCATTCTAATACGCCTTCTAGAAAACATTTGTCCTCTTGCTTCTATCACCATCACAGTCCTTGAAACACATACTTGAGGACAGACTTTCATCAAAATATTTGGACATTGCTAGTCTGAAGTCTGTTTCAAGTAGTTACAATAGAGAAGATTTCCAAATTCTGATACCCATATTTGAAAATGTAAGCCTTGGATTTATGAAAAAATAAATGCACTGAAATATCTCGTGACAACTACTCCTGTTCTTGACAAGCCTTCACGCAGATGCGTTGGCGTACTTACTAATTATAAAAGCACTGGTGATTTGCTTATGAAAAAAAAAAAAGAAATTTCAGCAAATTTAAAATGAATAGTTAGATATACCGTAGTAAAAGTTTTCTAATAAAGTCAGCTTGGTATGAAAATTATGTTTCAAAGTAGTTGTTCCTCCATCACATTGAAACTGAAAGTCCTTATGATTAGATGATAAATTAAGCCAGCTACTGGCAACAGACAGATCAGTGAGCCACAGCTGTATGGTAAACAGTGGTATTTCCAAGCGATGTTAATATTCTCCAGAGACACGATGTGACATTCTAGGCATCTGTTTTCCCTGTACATTTCCTATGGTGCAGCTAATTATGGCTTCCAGACAGCCACTAGGAAAGATGAAATTAAACCCATTTAAAAAAAAAAAAAAAACACAAAAAAAACCAACTAGCTGTTTAAAATGAAATTTTTAAATTCCTTCATAAAAAAGCCATACCCTGACATCAATCACACTGGATGACTGAAAACAGTAATGCAAGCATCTAAGTGAACTTCATGAGTTCAGTCAGCAATACAGAGCTCATCTTGAAAGTCTCAGCCTTAGTATCACAGCATCATTAAAGCATCAGCCAGATTCTAACACAACATGAATGTAGACGCATCTATTTAGGTCTTGATTTAACATAATTTTCAGCATCACGCCTGTTTGTTGTGCATCAACCAACAGGCAAGTTTTTTAAAAGAGGAAAAATATTTTCTAATTATCCATATGTCTCAACCACAATGACAGCTGAGTTTGCAAGTTACAAACTGGAGGATGATGGCTGTCAGTGACCAAAACCTAAATAATTCCGGAAACATTAATCCAATTTCCTGCCACAGAATAAAACATGGAATTTACTATAACACAAGACATAGAGAGAAGAGGAAAGAATTAAAATCAAGAGAAAGAGGAAATAACGTTTTGCAGATATTACTCACCAAAAACAGAGTTCTGAAGTTGCTCAGATCACCAAAGAATTCTTCTATGCTTATTGCTTTGGGATCAAAGGTAAAGTATTCTCCCAAACTTTCATACAATTTAGTCATGTTGTTGTGCATGTTGGACAATTTTTCATATTGCTCTCGAGCACTCTCAGCAAAGCTGTAAGGTTTTGTTAAGGAAAATGACTGAAATCGAGTCCAATCTAGCAGTAAAAAAAAAAATATAAAGAAAACTCAGTACAAAGGTTAGAACTGGAAAATTTCCTAGTGCTGTTCTGCTTTCAAATATGACATTGTCATGTTCTAATGTTTACACATCCACAAATTCATACCAACATAAGCTGGTGGCACATTTTTCCATTAACTGATTCCTTAATTAAGGAAGATTAATAGACTGCCATTAATAGACTATACAACTGACTTCATAAAATTTCCAAATCTTAGAAACTTTTCTTCTAATAAATGATTAATTTTGTAAAATACATTCTATGAAAAGACATATTGAAAATTAGTTTGCTGTGAGAATCTACAGTGCTCCACTCTGTTCAAGTTATTCCACGTTGCCTGTACTACGTACATATATTTTATACGTAAAATTTGCATTGTGATTAACTAACAACGACAAAATTATATAGTATGGTGTCCAATTTTCTTTGCCTTTTTTATAGATGTGTCTTCTTTGTGGATTCTTTAATGCCTAGCCACATAGCTCAGCCTACACCTCAGGCTTCCTGTACTAGGTACACTCATTTGGGGCACTCTCTCAACTAGGCAATTTCACAGAATTTAGAGAAATGGAATATCCACCCACCTGCCGCAGTCGACTGATAAACAGCTTTGAAAAAATATTAGTTAGAAAAACACCACAGAACATCATAAGTCTTTATTCCCCATTAGGAAGTATGGAAGTCTAGATATGAAACTGAGATTGACTTCCATCCCAGCAGTCATCATTAAAAGTTTGACATAAACCTTTTAAATAGAAAAATGGGGCATTTTTTCCCCTATATGAAAAAACATTTTTAGTACAATTCATTTGCAAACACGGGAAGGGTGCAAGCTGCTAAGGGTAATATTAGTTTGCCTTGAAGCAAGTAAGCTTCAGTCTGCTGTTTTCTTCCGTTGTTGTTGTTTATATCCACAAAGATTCCAAGTTCCAAATCACTATTAAAAAAACCAGCTAGTACGTGATTATACCAGTTCTGCTGATACTGAATTGTAGCTGATGAAAGTGGTGTGCTGTACGGATCAAAACCCAAGAACAAAAGACACAAGTTATTCCCTGAACTACAAAATTCATGCAGCCTGGCTCCCTGTGGCTTTTACTTGTAACAACTCTCTTACATGCGGATCCTCTTTCCTAATACAGCAGAGCTCATGCTTCAACATTTCCTCATACTTGAGTCTCTAATTTTAGAGACTATCTATTTTCTATCTTTCTGTAAAACAACAAGTAATCTGGAAAGTAATTTAGGGAAGGAGACATACAGAGAAATCGTATAAACCATTTATTTTTTAGATTAGACTAAACTCAACAATGATTCTTCAGAAAATAATCAACACATTGCAGAATAAAGAAAGGAAATTCAGGTGGATATTCTATTCATAACATTTCCATAGTGTTCGGAAGCTGTTGAGTACTTAAAAAAGGCTGTCATTTCACAAGCTAAATGAAGAGTAATAAGGCTGAAAATCTCTACCATTGGAAAGAGGCTTATTATTTCACTTGGATTTTCCTGTTGTAATTAATGCGAGGGTGTGTAAATAGTAATTTAAAAATTGGGTTTAAAAAGTATGATCAAAAACTTTATATAATGTAAATTATCCTCCTAAGAAACCTATTTTCCAAGTAATCCTCTCTTCTTCATTAACGCCTCAGTAGCGGAAAAGGAAAACTGTATTCTTCAGTTAGCTCATAATGTTCATTTAGAACGGAAAAAGAAGAAACTAACAGATCTGTGACAGATCTTAATATATAAATATCAAGATTTTGTAACAGTAATATCCACTTGTATAGTTTCATAACAGTGCAAACACAGGAGTAATACCTATATTTTCAGTTTATTGAAGTGAAGTTTAACCTGCTTAGTTAGAATTTCAAGCTCGGACTGTTGAATCGCTCATCTTAATACAAGACAAACTTGACATAATTCAGCCTTCAATGACATTTAACTGTAGAAAAGGAAATGCAAGTTTAATGGCAAGAATACATTAAATGGGTAACAATGCCATATTAATGAATTATGGAGCACAGCCTAAAAATTTTAGAAAACCATGGATTGCCTTAGAGTCAGACGACTAACTGTCTTGAAAAACTCACAAACAATACTAGGAAAAAGAAATACAAAGGTATATAATTATACAAATTGCATCTGTGGTTTTATATTATAATATATAATATAACATATTCTATATTTATATTATAAAATAATATAAAACTAAATTAATATATTAAAAATTACTGAAAAGTCTGAAACAAAAAAAAGAAAAAACCAGAGTCAAATTCTCCATTGAGGTTGCACATTCAATATGAGAAATAACAGTAATCACTAAAAAGAAAAAAACAATACTGCTACTGAAACTAGAACATATTTTTAAGTAACACTATAGAAGCATATACTGTGATTTCACCATTATTACTTTTTATCTAATAAGTACCAAACTGCAAATAAGAAATATCATTAACAGATAGCTTGTAAGACAAAAGAATGACAGTAAGATGGATGAATAAGCTGAGAAAAGAGAGAATAGAGTATTTTAACTATCCTTAGTTTTGAAGAAAACAAGTCAAGTGCTGTAGAGACAGTAGTTTCCAAAGTCACATATCATGTCATGTTAACCCAGTTAACACTTTCTGCCACACTGTATATGCTTCATACTTATAAAATTTTAGTAACTTGAAACATCACCTTGAAGTCTACTACTTCAAGTCATTGCAAAGTCTTAGCCAATACAATAATCCCAGAGAAGGAAAGCCATACTTGCCTACATTATTTCACAAAAAAAAAAAAAAAAGAAAAACTTAAGTTATCAACCTTGCATAACAGAAATACTTAATTCCAAGAGTTTTCATTAATATCAATTGAAGCTTTAATGAGTGCTCATTTAAAAACTGTAAACAAGGTTTCATTCTTACAATTTGAACCAAACCAAAGTATTATACTACAAATGGATTAACTCCTAACAGAGAGCAAAACCACAAGGACAAAAGAAAATAAAGGCCCACTGGGAGTAGAGATGGAAGATGATCTCATTTATCAATATACTCAACCTGAAGGGAAAGAATAAATGGATTTGGGGTATTATATAAACTAGCACTATAACAAGGAGGTAGAAAATAATCAGCTTGGGATTTTCTAGGAGTCTGGTAAGAAAAGCCACCTAAACTTTATTTATTTAATTATCTGGTCTACTTATTTTTCACCTAACTTCAGTTTTACTGAAGGTAAAGGTTTCTTATTCTACTATATGCACTGATTCTAATATTCTTTCTAGACAGAAACTCAATAGACAGCACAGCATCATCAAAAAAAACCCAGAAACATAGCTTCATTCTAAATCTCCATATAATTTCCTTTAAATTTGTCCACACCAGTCTTTTTAGGTGCATTTCTCTTTGCTCCTACAGTTAGATCTTACATGACACACTGGTTTTATATAGAAATTATAGTCAATCATAATTTATAATTTACTACAGGAAAACTGGTAATCCATTTACTATTTCTGATGTAAAGAACTTTTTTCTTCAAGTAATGCATTTTTGAAAAATATGCAGTGTGTGTTAGCTTTAAGTTGCAGATTAACTCACACTGAAGAATGCAAAATGTCCATGAACTATGGATCATTATCCAATGATAAAGCTCCGAGCCTTTACAATGCGAAATGCTGCAACACTGAAAATATCTATGTCAACGTGTATTCTGTCACGCTTCACTAAAATTTACTATTTGAAATCATTTTTTATTCTGTTAGCTATTCCAAACTCGACTACTCATTTACTGTTCTGAAAATTGACAATTTCCATCGGAATGTTCTGTGTCTCAGATAACACAGTTTAATTAAAACTGGCTTATTAAAATTTCCATGACAAATTATATGTTTGAATGTTTCTCTCCTGTCCTGAGCTGAACTACGGAATTAATGTCAGCAGTACTTGAAGCAGAAGGGAATGCAGCCGCATACCACAATGCCACCTTATTATTCTGGAGATACACACTCACCCCACAACTCCTTAAAGCGGCAGATATATCGGGAACAACATACCAGTAGTTCATGCTTTGATAAAATTATAACTTCATTATTAATCCAACACAGAGTATTTAAATTCTAACAGCATAAAACCAATCTATTATCTTTGTTGCTTATTCTATTTTACAGAAATAGAAGTTTTACTTCCGTTTAGTGAATACATAACATGGTACTGCAGACACTGGAAAACTAATAAAGATGCTGAAAAACCGCCTATTCAAAACGCTTTAAAGTAAAATTGTTGGAGCCCCAAATGACAGAGTTGGGGGAGAACTAATTAGGCAGCAATAATTACGTGAATAATCACATAACGGCTGGTTTTTTTGTTTGTATGCCTTTATGATGCTTGAGATAAAGCATATAAGAGAGGGATTAAAAAACATTTGTGGCACCACTCATCATAAGTGTTGCCTTTTACTACTATCAATGTGTGGATCACCAGATCTGCTTGCAAATTAACCACACTCATAGGTAGCACTTGACATTAAGTGTACAGTACAGCATGCAAAAAATCAGAAAACAATTAGAAGCCTCTGCTTCCACAGAGGGGTCTGCATCTGTACCTAAAGGTAATTTAATGAAAATTGACAACCTAATTCATATTTGGCCTTCTACATTTCTGAGTCTGAATCAAGTGCTGACTAACAGCCCAGCTAAGTTTAACGGGTGACTGAGCACCAGAACCGTTGTCCAGAGAATTCTGGAGATATTCAAAAGCAATCTGGACACGGTTGTGTAAGCCTGCTCTAGATGGCTCTACTTGAGCAGGGGGGTTGGACAAGATGACCTCCTGCAGTCCCGTCCAACCTCAACCATCCTGTGATTCTGGGAAATCTAAGTAAGCAAGGCTTTGGTTACTCTGCTTATACATATGATCTCAAATAACTTCATTCCCTCCAAGATATATGTAGAAT